TTTGGTGCTCGGTATACAGAATTCATTAGGATGTTTCGAGCAACTAAGTTATTTCAGCCTAAATTTTTTGCTCTTTGACACTTTCTTCGCCGTTGATCAATCCTTTTTGAGTTGCAGCACGCATTCGACTTCTGCCCAAAATCGTAGTAGCTATCGATTACGATGTGCCCTATAATGACCTGCGGAAACCAGCCGATGTTTAGTGCTCGTAGTGTGTGTTTGAAAAACGGCAAAAAATGCCAATCCGCATTTTTCTTCGTTTTTTTTTGCTATAGCGTTGTTCTTGCTAAATTTTTCTATGGAAAGCGATAATGGTCACAATCAAGTGGTCACAATGCATAGATGGTGCCCCTACATTCAGAAAAACCTTCCAATAATAATGTGAATTGGTCCTTTGTACATCTCAGCAGATGTTTCAGCGGGAGGACTCGAGGGTGCCGGTATGAAGACGTGCAATCCTTTGTAAGGAAGTGCACATGTGTTAGAAAAGGTGAACCACTGCGACAGTGCCAAGAAGACAAGTGGTTCGTCAGAACAGAAAAGCAACACCACCAAAGGCGTCGTCGATGCCGTGCAACGCTAAAGGCCCGTATGCAGGCTGACAAAGTCTCTCGTCGCGAAGCACCTATCTCCATATACAACCGAACGACCTCCTTTGGAGCAAAACTGTAACATTAACGAATACAGGCAGACCTGAAAAATGCTCGGTTGAATAATTCTCTTTTATGTATTACGAAGTGGTTGATAAGAGTGCGGTTCTAGCACCCTCCATGCGACTCGAAAATGACTGATATAAGGATTCCTCTCACGAAGTCACTGTCTATACTCAGATAAGAACCCATCACCAAGCTGAACGTCGTTGTCCAGATTGACGGTATTTTTAGTGCTGGTAGTATCTCGCTTGTGAAACTTTCTCTCGGGAATGAGGGCGTCCACAAGTAGATGATGATTAGTTGCGACTCCGACTCCCTCTTCCTTTTCCATTCGGTGAGCCCCTCTACCGACACAGCCTTGCAATAGACGGCCCCGTTGCAAGGCTCCAATTGATATCCCGTAGCATATGTGTTGGAATGGTCGTGTGAACGTGAACTGCGAAGACATGCATCAATCGTGCGGATTTGCAGTGCAAGCGGCAACGCTCACGCCTCTCATTTGCTTAGCACTGCACGACTTTGCATTACGGTTGGCGGGAAAGTTCTGTCACTTTTTTCAAATTGGGCTTTCTTTTTATAGAGAGGCGTGTAAGATCAAAATTGTACAGCAATGTTACTGCGGGGTCCTTGCCTGTTTTTTTCATGGATGCCATCGCTTCACAATGCAGGGAGGCGCGATACAAAGTTGGACATCATCTCAATCTTGGCTTGAACTCAGACTTTTCGAGGTTTTCTCGTAATTTCTCGTCCAGTAATAATTGATTACGGGAGGCAGCTCGCAATTAGAAGGAGCTCCAGCTCTATTGCATCAGAAACGGCTAGAACTTTTTGGAAGTGAGCTGCACTATCAGAAGCATTTGGAGGGGTCGGTGGCGATGGTAGCGGATAACATTCTTGTCCATATTGCAGAAGAAGAAGAAGCAGGAATCAAGCGAGCGAGGGAGCGAGCTTACTAATAGAAAGAGCCGGAGGATTGGAATGTGCCTCGGCATGGCGTGACACGAGATTATGGAGCGGGGAAGACTGTCGGAAAAAAGGTAGAGAAATACAGCGTCGAGTACCCCAAGAACGCGAAGCGCAGCGATTTTTACGAGAAAAAACACTATCTTACCTTCCGAGAAGGAGACGGCAAGGAGAGCACTCTTCTCAGCCGCAAAACACTACATCACACACTACACCACAAAATTAGAAAGTATTCATTCCCTTGAAAACTTGACAGCTACCAAAAGAATGCTGAGATATTGGCAAGTCGGACCCGGGACGGGATTCAAATCCGCTTCTCCCCTTACCCAGCCGAGAAGGTAGCGTAATGGATAACGCCCAGCAAGCGGTTGGCCCTTGTAGCGGGGCTCTCTGGTGCAAGACTGTCGTGGTCAACAGCTGCAAACACTCCTCCCAGAATTGTTCTGACACAGTTCAACTCAAAAATCTAGGAATGGTCTGCAGTCGTGCCAGTCGCTGACTGTAGCTGTAATAGCGGTTCAATTTTAATTACAGTAACAAGATTCTATTGGATTGCTCACAAGTATGCCAATTTCTGTTCTAATATGAATGGTTATGAATAAATCCCTGGAAGCTCCCATCACCGGGCTTTCAGCTCACTCCACTTTTCCTCTTGTTAGAATTTTGGTTCAAATTCATCAGTGATCGTTCAGTTATAAGGTGTCAGCTGTAACGATTTGAAAGCTATATGGAGAAATCTTAGCTTTTCGAGTGAACAATCCTCGGGTTATAGAAGAATAGCTCTTTTGACGGCTATAAGGGTGATCTTCACTAGTTTTAGCATTGCCTACGTCTCCATTGCGTACACCTTCATTTTGGATTTGGTTCTGCCTGGGTATTGGATGTAACCTGCTATGCCTTGGATTGAATGCACTGTTCAGCTTAGTTATCATAATGGGAAGGCAACAAACTTTCAAGGTAAACGTTTGGACGTCGTATGCCTTTCACACCTACTGTAAAACCTGAATTGAATTGAACGAATCGAAGCTTCAGAACTCCTTCTATGCAATAGTCATCGTTTTCTCCTTGACAGTTGTAACGAGCAATTTCTGTAAACTCGCCTATGAACTCGTTATCGTCCTCGCTCGAGTACATTTGAGAGGCTTCAGCTGTTTCTCGACGATTATGGATCTTGCCGTCTCGCACTTTTGTCCACTACTCATATTTTTACTGGGGTTCAATCGTTTTGCTGCCTTCTCTTCGCCATACCTCTGTAATCGACTTATGGAAAGGTGAGCTCGAATAACAGTCGATTCATTATCACCCCATATATATAATTCGCTTTGTTTGTTGTTTGTTTGTAGTTTGTAAGTTTGTAAGTTGTAAGTTTGTCTGTCCGGAAATTCGGTTCGACCTGAAGAACGACTTGGAGAGGTCCAGTCAAGGTGGGGATAGGTAGGGCATGGGACAAGAAATAAAAAGCACACTTGACCTATGGGAAGCTCCGCCCACAGTGGGCGGGGCACTCGAAAGTTTGGGGTTCCGCAGAAAAATGTTCATAATTCGCTTCCGGAGCAGCTTAAAGATGGGGAAAAAGGGACTAAGGTTAGTAAGGAGTCGCCAGACTAACTGTGGCAGACACACCTAAAAAAAAAAAAAAAAAAAAAAAAAAAAGAAAAATGGGCGGGGCGTACTCAAGGTGGGCGGTGCTTCTCGCAAAATTCAGTAACCCGGTTCGAGTGTTTGGAAGTCGCAAAAAACTCAGTGTAGAATGTAAATATCTGGCGAATATAGGGCACGCTCAAAGTGTGTTGAGACCCGCCCACAGTGGGCGGAGCTTGCCCTAAATCGCAGGGTATTCATTTTAAAAGTTTGTAGCTCGGTTCCAGAACACTCCAGACACCGGAAAAAAGTGGATTAAGGTCAGCAGAGGGTCGCCGGTGAGGATTGTGGGGCAAAAACATTGTGGGCGGAGCCAGACAAAAGATCTGTAAAACTGTCCCAGAGCACTTCAAAGACCGGAAAAAAGTGGATTAAGGTCAGCAGAGGGTCGCCGGTGAGGATTGTGGGGCAAAAAAATTGTGGGCGGAGCCTGCTCCGAGGTGGGCGGAGCCAGACAAAAAGGTCTGTAAAACGGTTCCAGAACACTCCAGACACCGGAAAAAAGTGGATTAAGGTCAGCAGAGGGTCGCCGGTGAGGATTGTGGGGCACAAACATTGTGGGCGGGGCCTGCTCTGGGCGGAGTCAGACGAAGAATCTGTAAAATAGCTCAAGAGTACTTCAGACACCGGAAAAAAGTGGAGTACAGAACAAAAGGCGGATATCAGTTGAGTCTAGAAATATGTGAAAGAAAATACGCGCGGCGAAGCCGCGCTCGCCCGGCGCAGCCGGGCCGTATCAGAAGGAGGCGCGCCGGCGTTACCGGCGAGCCGACTGGTTTATCATATACCGCTTTCAGGAGGCCTCTGCAGTGTATTCTTTTTGGGCTTCTTGTATTTTCTGTTCTACACGCGATTCTGATTTACAAGATTAGTGGGTTGCAAAGAGCTTTCGAGCAAGATGCAGTGGTCGACTATGCTGACGAACTTGTGATCGTTCAGGTAGGCAAAATAATCGCACATTGATATTCTCACTTCTTCTTCATCGTTCCCATTAAATAACCAGAAGGGTTACATTTTAAAAAAAAGTTCTTACTCTCTTCTGTAGGTGTCAAACTACATATTTCACGCTCTTCCGCTCGTTTCGTCGCTTTTCTACCTTATCGCCTACAGATCGCTACGTTTCAAAAGGGAGGATGCTATCAGCAACAAAACGAAAACCCTTCTTGACAGCGTCGAACGATGCACATTGAACCAGGGAATATGGATCCTCGTTGTATATCTAGTACGTTTAATATACGCCTCAGAACACAGGAGCTCCTCCTTCACTTATGAATAAGAGGGAAATTCGGAGACGGTCGCTCTTTTCGCAGAGCTTGTCGTTGAATTTAAAAACATTTAACAAAATAAAAGTACTCCTCTTTGCCTTCCAAGGCCTAGTACACGACCATTCAGAGAGCCGCTTTCACCGTGGACAAGTTTCTCGTCGTTCTCTGATGTCTGTTACTCCTAGAGCTGCATACTTAACTCCACTCTTTCCCACTCAGTGCCAAAAAGGTTACAAATAAAGAAGTGTGCTAGTGATTAACGAAAAATAAGAAGAAAACTGAAATTAGTGCTGATGGTTCCGTCCCCACGCTTCCACTCATGAGCCCGTTGACACCAGGCAGTCCGGCGTCTTCTTCGGTACTGTATTGAGTAGAAAGCCTTCCTTCCGTTGAACAGTTTTCGAAAAGAAATGATTTATGATCGACGAATATTCTCATCCATGCATGTACCGCTACTGTATATAAGCCTTTAGACGCATCTCGGCGAGGAGGGAGGTGTAGTTGCACTCCACTGCTTCATTGGTTCCGATATACAGATCTCTGGTGGAACCTATCAATTCTTGTAAGCTCGTGAAGCTGCTTATGACATGAATCCCATGCAAGAGTTCACGCGTGCTTATATTATATAATATATAATATAACAATTCCGGGGCTTCACAAAATCTCACAGGTTTCCATTAGATGGCTCGAAGTGGCAAAAGCGCAAAATGCCTTTCCCACGCCCCCCGCAAAACTGCACTAGCCTAATTACTCTATCGGAAGTATGCAGTCCATACCTAAAGAAGCAAGTTAGCTTGTCCGGAGTAGTGAGTAGGAGCGATTCCCATAGTGCCCATGCTTGGAACTTTTCAGCTGGCGATATATTTTTATGGTGTGATAGAAAGAAATGGCGCGGATGTCTCTGAGCCAATGACCTAACTTTTCCAACACCAAGATCACTTTGTTGTCTCCATTGAACTCACATAATAAAGCTAACAATCAGTGAAGATCAGTAAACCTTATATCAACCATTGGCTAACAATAAGAATCAAAGGATCAAATATGCAGGTGTATTGTGAAAACTCACTATGAGCCCCTTCGTTTGCTAGCTACTGATAAAGAGTGGTCTAATTTGAATGACTGAGTATGTTTCAGATTTCGCTGATCATTCACGTAACAATGCACTTCCTATCGGTGGATGGCATCTCGTTCGCAGTTCTGTCTTCCCTCGAAGTTCTCACCTCCGCAGCTCCACAGCTTGCTCTCCCGATCACAGTGCTAGTGTTCTCGGAGGATGCTCGAAACGCCACATCGCGTATCTGCTGGTCGACTGTAAAATGCAGCTTGACAAAAATATCAGGCAGCCCTACGTGCATAGAGAATGATTTTGTCCCGGGTCCCTGTGATCTTCCGGAGGAATTTTACGAATTTTTGTCGTTGGCACTACTCACTTCGGTGCACGCCCCGTCCATTGTGTGCGAGGCTTAACTTAGTTTGTGTGTATTCGGTATATTTTCAACATGCCCTCACCCCCATCCCAAAGTTGACGGCGTTCAAGTGTTTTGTTGACCACGTTTTCAAGAGATTGCGTCCGTGACACCGCTCAGCCACTTTCTAGGGTTATACCGCACTAACTTCATCTGCCAAACCATGTCAAGTCAGTTTCACCTTACTCCCCATTTTGTGGGGTTCATGCGTTTTGAGGATTTTTGCCCTCGGCGCCGTTCACTTCGGCGAACGCCTCGCCCGTCAGGGGTGTGCTTCACTGATTTCGTCCGGCAACTGATTACCTGTCATTGCCACATTTTCCACTCTCCCTGGCTCAATTGGAACCGAGTTAGGAATTTTTGAATGTGGCAAGCACCGCCCATCTATGGAACGTCCCAAATGGGTGTGTCTCACTCATTTCGACCGCCAACCGATTGCCTATCGTTTGCCACTTTTTCCGCTCTTGGGGCTCTTTTGGAACCAAACTACGAATTTTTGAAATTTGTAGCTCACAACTGTGCGCACGCCCCGTCCCACGGTGGCGTGAGCCTAGCTTAGTTCATTTGTGTTCCGTACATCTTGGCCCATGCCCTACCCAACCCACCCTTGACCCGCCCCCCCCCAACTGGCTCTTCAGGTGATTCCGGATTTCCGGACAGACAGACAGACAGACAGACAGACAGACAGACAGACAGACAGACAGA